CTGAAAGGCTCACTGTTAACAACCCATATCAAAGCCCAAATGAGGTTTTTTCGGGAAGTTGGGTCTGACTTTTTCTTGGTTTGCTGCAGGAACTCGCCAATGTCTCTGTTACCTCACAGTGACAAAAAGAAATATATGAGACAGATATATTTTCACCTAACTCTCAGCAATGTCACATTACTCCTACAAGTTTTTTTTTTTTTTTTACTTTTCTGTAAATTTAGAAAGAAAAGTAGAAACACTGCAGAAGTTAAGTGTTTTTAACCATAATACTATGAATAGCATGATGTGTTATTGCGGATTATACAGCGTCTTTATCAAGTATTAAGACCATTTTACACTTGAAACACAAAATTAACCCATGAAACATGAGTCTTGCATATTAAGCAAATCAAAAACTGTGCACATAAACTTTATTCAGTACTTTATAGAAGCCACTTTAGCAGCAGTTACCATTATGAGTCACGGGTAAAGTCTCTATAAGCTTTGCTCACAAGGATTTGGGCAGTTGATCCCATTCTTCCTGTCATTCCTGTCAGCTCTGTCACATTGATAAGGAAGCATCTGTGAAGTCTTTCCACAGATGTTATAAAGGGTTTATGGGGAACCGTCAGGTCGCATGCACTCATCCTTCCCCCGGTACTGACTCGTCTCCCTGTCCCTGCTGCTGAGAAGCAGCCACACAGTGTGATGCTACTATCATCATGTTTCACCAGAGGGATGATACTAGACAGTTGATGAGCAGGTGTCCACCAGATAGAGGGGTTGAAGATCTCATTATCGGGGGTCTACACAGAGTTCTCTGCATGGTTTTGTTTTTGTGTTCACAATCAGTGTGAACTGTGGACCCTTATGTGTTATGTGAGTCTACAGAGCAAGAGCGTTTCTCAACCAGGGGCCATAAAGGGGGCATGATTTACACAGAGGGGCCAAATAAACATCCATCATCAATTCACATTTCCTGATTCAGTAAGGTGCACATTTATGTCTGTCCTTGTTAACTGTGAGCTCTATAGCTTTGAGCAAAGCCACACATTATTTTATGTATTTAAAAAAATCTTCCCTGTTCATATTGTGTACTTCAAAAAAGCTTTAAAAAAATCTTCACAATGTGTCATATACTTTGTAAGTATTGTTTGTTGGACTCTGTGTAGAGTCTCAGTGACATTAACTCCCACCTCCTCCACACTCCTGCTCTCTGAGCTGCTCTCATGATGGTGTTGATAGTGATCACTGATAGTGATCGATGACGTCAGTTTATCATTCTTCAACTCATTTCAACCAGATGTCCTCAATCTGCAGGCTACTTCTCAAAGCTCATGTAATTTAACTGCGTTAAAAATTTATTTAGCTGAAAATGGTTATGGGTAATTTTACATTATTCATCCACTTTAAGATCAAGACGCGTATTTTAAACTATATAACTCTTCCAGGTCATGCTCTCTGAAACTGTTCCACAGAATACTAAACCCACTCTATTTTCCAAGACATAACCTTTACATGAGTGTTATTGTGATGAGAAATGGAAACGCGGCTACTTAACACTTAAGCAGATCATGAGGTGGTTTGGGATTTGATTTCTTTGTTCAGAAGAGTCCTGGTCCCAATTAATACATAAACTTGAGATAGTTGCACCTGCATATAAGTGTGTCTCTTACTGATCTGTCTCCTTGGGGTTTTCCTTTCTCAACAGCTTTCCATCTGTATCAAGAACAGCCCACCACCCTGAGGACATCTGGAAAAGGGCTCATTAGTGAAAGACTGAAAATCGCAGCGAGAGGAAGGCTAGTTAGTCAACTGACAATCCAGCACATTAGAGCCAGAAGATCCATGAAAGCAGATACAACTCATTATGCTTGAGAAAACCAACACAAACATGAGACATAACCTACTTGTGCTTCTCAAGACATTAGCTGCTTTCACACATGCAGTAATCTACGCACATTCTGTGGAGGGGCTGCATGTGTGAGTGTGAGGCTCTGGACTTTCTCCGGAGTTTCATCTGCTAACCCCCTACACCTGAAAAACCTCTTAATGATTCAATCTGAAAACACACCGGGAGAGCCTCCATGGGATTTACTTTGAGCGAGTGGGCGTGAAGATGTTTCTAACATGCAACAGATGAAAATAAGGAAAAAAACAAAGAAAGAATACAAATATCTCAGGATTAAAAGGCAGTGCCACACTCGTAAAAGATGTCGAATGAGTTTTTGGTGAGGGCCATTGCTAGTGCAAATAACACGTGATCTCCGCAGTAGAATTTATAGGTTGCACCCAGCCTCTGCCAGCTGTGCCACCCCTCACCTGAGATTCTTGTTTTGTTATGATTGCGTCTGCTGCGTTGTTCAATGAAAGGCAAACTCCAAAGAAAGTCGGGCCCCGATTGTGCAGATATTTGACAGAGCTAATGCAATGCATTATGGGAAGTAAAAAACTGTTAAGAATCTCTCAACAGTGCTCATTAAGATCGATACCAGTTACTGTTGTTTCATGCTGGGGAGAAAAACTAGTGTAATGAACAAATCCATCAGTACTTCCATCTATCAAGCAATGTGTCAATATTGCTGGCTGGTGCTGTTGTGTAATTTCACTGTACACATTCAGGCCCTTGATGAAAGTGGAGGAAGGCCACAGGGTATCTAAACATCAGAGGCAGCCAGGAACATCCCCTCATTGTAGCCGTGCAGGCACCTCTGCAAATTGATTTTCTCTGGCAGGCACATGCCCACGCCACAAGACCCACAAATGCCTCTATAAACAGGACAGTGAAATCAGCTTACTGCGCTAACCTGCTCAGTCACCAGATCTCAATTGAGCATTTGTAGGGATGACATGCTACACGCTGCTGCTGCCGAGGCCTGCCGCCGAACGCCAGAGAGCTCCCTCAGGGGATTCTCCGACACAGAAAGCAGAGTTCTAATGAACTCTGCTGCTCTAATGGCAAACAGGGGGTCAAGTCAGTGTTTAGAAAGTGTTACTAATAGTGAATTATACTGAGCGTACACCCATTTTGAACAAACACACTAAGCCTATTTGACTTTTGGGCCTTCCACCAGCTTATATGACATCAGCCTGTGAGTAAAATCTGCTTGATGAAGCTTCAGAGAAACATCAGAGAAACAATGGAAAAATCCTTGTGGCACATACTTGTAATCCATACACAAATCCCAGGCTTAGACTTTAAAGTATATGCTTAACCTGAGTGTGACATCAAACCACTTCCTGTCAAGTGCATGTTGTTGGATTTTAAAGGATCCTCCTCATACTTGACTTATTGAACGTTCTGGGATCTCCGTCACACTGCGCTGCCCTTCATCTCTGCATTTATAGCTGAAATTAGCTTCATCATAGCTTTTTTCCGTCACTATAATTTCTGATATCCTAACACCAACAAGCTCTTCAGGTGTATATACAGCATCATGGCCGCTCAAATGCTTCAATGATCAAAAACACACATCTGATAATCTAATCTAATAATATCTGTCTGCCTGTCGCGAGCACATCTCGAGAACAGCTCATCTCCTCGTCTTCACACTTGGCATGTGTTTCGTTATCTGCATCTACATATATTGCCGTCTGAATGTGGTCTGAATTGGACATGTGATATACTCAATATTAATAAACTTTTAATAAACAGGCTACCAGCACTCTGTAGCAGTGGTGACTGGGACTCAAGAAAGTAGGTGACGTTGCCCATCACAACAACAGCGCGTTCATGACAATGGGTGCGTTCACAACGGCAACAACAGATTCTCCAGTTCCGGGTTCTTCCCACTGAGTCAAGCTTTGCCGAACTTCAAATTTATTGGTGAACATCTGTTTGTGCAGCTGCGGTGAAGCAGCTTCAGAGTTCTGCAGCCGGTTTTTACTTGTTATGGCTACAGGTCGCTGTATCAGTTTCAGAAAGAAAGCTGCAACTAGAATAACCACAGGCCAAGCAAACAGCCTATTTCAAACAGGCAAGTTAAGAACAGCCACTATACTAAAAAAAAATGTTGCAGTCCAATGGTCAATCATTAAATTTAAATACATGCAAATTAAAGTACAATTATCTCATTCTGTGGAGCAGTGTCTTAGACTCTGTCTTAGACTACTTTCTCAGCCACTTGTAAAGCACAGACACTGACAGAGATGAGCAGGCTAAATGAGACTCAGTTCACCGTCTCTAATGCAGCAGTTTTTACTGCTCTTGCATGTGCGAATAGATGAAGTGGAACTTGGAGTCAAGTTGTACAATTTCACTTCTTTAAAAAAGTTTTTTCTTAAGTCGAGAGTGAATTTCTGCTCAAACCAGATGTAAATGTTAACAAAGATCATTGGCTGCAGTATCGGTTCTAGGCTTTAAAGATCTACAATGTCCCATGAGCAGCGATGAAAGTGTAAATCTTATTTTGGCTTTAACCAGAGTGGTCATCAAGCAGAAAACTCATTAAAAGAACAGTGAAGGTCCAAAGGAGTGAAGGAGCAGACTGAATGTTAAACAACCAAAGAAACTCTCTGCTCAGTTCACTCCAACAGCTTCTCCTCACATTTTAATCACTGAAGCTGAGTGTAGAGTTGCATCATGGAGACAAAACCAAGCAAGAGAAACATTGGAGATCACTATTTTATATTTTATATATAAATTAAGGATTTATACATTGCTGATAAAGAAAAAATACAAAACATTTTTGATCTTACATGACATTTACATGTGGGATTTTACACAACATATTCAATAACTTACAAATGCTTCATTTGCATAAAAAATATATCTCTTTACAAAAGTTTTGTAATATGTACATATTCATATACACAGGATCTTGAATGGGATAAACAAGTGTGTGGTACATTTAAAAGCATTCTACTCTACTCTGGAATCTGATGTGAGACTGACTTGTTGAATACTGTTTTTTTTTTAACCAGATGCATTTCTTTTCTCATCAATAAGAAATATGAACTTGCAAAATATATTACATATTGATAACACAAGACATCTTGCCAAGGAATGCCATCAAGTATCAAAACTGTATAAATGTACAAAATGTAACAGCAATGACAGGAATCAACAGAGTGGTACAAAGTACGATAGCAGCAATTGCTATACTGGATCGCTTTTTGCCAACATGCACAGGTATGAAACAATGAGCTGCTGTTCAAACACACTTCTTAAATAAACCATCAGAGCTGACATCAAAATCAATGCAAAACTGTGCAGATAAACGACACTGATGTACAGCTTCACTTATAGAATAAATGTCTTCTTTAAAATATATGCGCATACAGTATCCAAGGCACTGCAATGATGTACAAATGTGATGACAGTGTCAAATCTATTTTTACTTTGAAATCATGGATGGACTTGGATGATAGTACAATAATGATGATGGCTCATGTTTAAGTGTGCAAATTATTTTCTCGTGTGTACTGTACATTTGTTAGCAGAAGCTGATGGTTCAGTAAGACACTGAAGTAACCACTTGAGTCAGTAGGTGTCAATGAAACGGGCTGAGGTCTGTATTCATCCAGTGTCTCAGAGTAGGAGTGCGCATCAAGAGTTCACTGACTAAGGCACGGTTTCCCAAAAGAAATATAGAACGTTAAAAACCGCTCCTGATAAACGGAGATGACGTGGTAGTTGCACTTGTTTGATTTCGGATTTACTCTAAAGTAAGGCAGATGCATCTTCAACTTTTTATCAACATAAAACAAGACATTCATCTGACTTCAGGCTGCCGACTGACATGTCTTTGAACTTTGAGTCACAGACATACAGGCGGGAAATTAACTTCTGGGAAACCTGTCCTGCTGTTGATACTGAGCACTGTGGCCATGCTCAACCTCGTCAGTAAATAAAAACTGAAATAATTAGGATAGGAACTCCCACTTTGAGATGCTTGATATCTACAGCCTCAGGGTTGGGGTTAATTCACTCCAAATTTGGTTTATTTGGGACACAAATACACTCAGAGGAATAACAATAAGAGAAAAAACACCTGAAAGGAAATCAGGTTTCACAACTCCTTCAATAACTTAAGGATCGGTTAAATAGATGGATGATTTGCCTCATGTGATCAATACGCTGAACGGTACAGTCTGCCTCCACAGCAAGTCAGCAATAAAAGTTCTCATACTTAAAGAACATTGCTGCTGAAAACAAAATCACTGCAGACAACTTGATAATAAACTCTATAATGTTGAATATATCTCTTCTTAATAAGAAAATGAACTCTACTGTTGTCTGATTACCTGCACTGTAACAATAGAAGCCCTAGCATACCCGGTCACATTTGAAAAACTGTACTGCACTTCAGTAATTGAATCCCTGGCCATATATTTCATCAGTCGGAGTTACCATCTAATTAATAGGTATAATTGACCACATAACCTTGAACAGAGAATGGCGCGGACGCTATTCAAAGAACCATTTGCATTTCTACTTCTCCATTAACTCTCACACATCTGCCTGCATGGAAACCGACTCTGAAGATTAGGCTGATCAACTCACAGTCGAGAGGCTCCTCACCTCCATAAGAGAAACTCTCATGAGGATGAATGTGACACCACGACAAAAACAAACAACAGAAGGGGTCTCGGTCTGAGCTGTTTTCTTGGAAAAAGTTTAAATTTTTCATTTGGCATTGTGAAGTAACCCCTCTATATTTATACTACAGAGCATAAAATACTCTATTTTATCTATATGCCAGAGGCTCTTTTTTATTCATGAAACCAACACTCACTGAGTGTAAAGAACTCTTCTCTCCGTCGAACAACGGGAAGATCTGGAAAGGTCTGGAACCTCCTCTCCCTCTCTCTCTAATCTTTTACCCTCCGTGTACGATCAGTCGCAACTCTTAAGTGTTGCCGAAGGTGTGCTTTATATTTCTGAGCGATTCTTTGTGTCCTAGTTGTATGCCATCAGAAGTAGGGAAAATATAAATATGTCATTTATATATATATATATGTAAGTCTGTAAGTCATTCTCTTATACTCAGTAGACATCAAACCATGGTGCAGATGGTGTTGAGATTGGGGTCGAAGCGGACAACTTTCCCTTCGGCAGCTTTTGTGTTTGTGTTGTACATGGGATTCTCAAAAGTAGCCTGTCCATTGTTGTTCTCGTGGACAGAACATCCGGTGTACTGCGCTTTATCTGTTTTCCTGGGGAATAAAAAAAAGGAGGTTACACATTAGTTGAGAGACGTTGTCCCAATTATCTCCGCTCCTTCCAATTCAATAAACATGTTTCCATTATGTTGCTGGGGACAGCTGCAGTAGGTAAATGAGGCTGAATGGTAATTACTGTTGAAAAGAGCGGAGGAGCGCGATGCCAGTTCACTGGTAACTAATATAATGAGTGCAAAATTTGCATGTGACAGGATTGACGTGTGTGAATTGTTCTGAGAGATTATCTGTTTAAATGAAGACAAAATCCTTTGTCAATACTGCGTACACACATTTATACTGCACTGTACGTTTGAATACCGCAGTATGTCCAGATAATTCTCATCTACTGCAGGACTTGTATGTATGTGTTGACTAAGATCGCATCACTCTTTGAAGCCTCTCACTTGTAAGCTACTGTACTGAGTGAGCAACCTTGAGAAGTAAAGGAGGCTGAGGAAGTGGGCTAAAGTGAACCGTCTTCCTCATCTTCCTGTGCATCTCCTTGAAATCTACACCGACATGAATCTGTTTCTGAAACTTTTTCAACATCACATCTGTGGTAAAACACTTCAAAACTCAACCTGGAACACAGGCTCATGGAAATGTGCTACTTTCTATTTCATGTGGGATCCGAACGGATGTAGCTGCTAAATTTGGGTTCCATGCTCGTATGGAAGACACCAGGGAAGACTACATACCGTTGTTTGTATAGATAAAAACCGAGGCCTGCAAAGATGAGGGCAAAGAAAGGCACGAGGATCGCGACAGCAACAGAGCTGCTGTTGGTGGAGCCGTTGGTTTCTGGGTCGGTGAAGGTGACGTTCTCCCTTACACTCAAACCTAAAAAAAAAAAAAAACATATTTAGCCACAAGACATTTGAACATGAAGAAAAAATTTTGATTAATAAATTGCAAATTGAACAATAGAAAGATACGTATCATATGATGATGATGACAATGATGATGAGGATGATGAAGATGATGATGAGGAAGATTATCACAATGATGTCAAGTCAGAGACACAGCCGCCAGTTGATAAAGACGACAGCCGTGATGTTCACACTGATAATGATCTGCGACTGTGATAATCTCGTTGAAGACAATAATGAGATGATTACAGTGACGTCGAGCACAAAGAAATGAAGGACGATGATGTCGGTGGGATTTCTCCTCTGCCGTTTGACTGTGGTGGTCGCAGGTTTTCAGCAGGTACGAGGGGCAACACGCAAAAATGATTTATTCCATCAAATACAGCGCAAATATTATTCCTGAAAATGTGTTTTCAATATGTTTGAAAACTAGTTAAACCTTTTTAACCTGGGTGACAACGTGACCTGTTACAGTAATAGGTGCAAGAGAAAACAAACCCATCGCTTCCCTTGGTTCTTAGTTTGTAGTTAAAGAAACAGCACATATATCATAGTATTTTTTTCATTCTTATAAATTCTCCCATCTGTTTTCTCCATGTGAAATGAGAATAATGTATCTAACAGTGTTATGTCCAACAAAATGTGATATTTTTTACATCTGCAATATTTTGTAACATCTATTTACTAATTTCAGAAATCCCTGTCTATCTGCATGTAGCCATCATAGCTCAAGAAACTGTTCATGTTATCTGCTTCACACCGGGCATGTGTAAGGGTCCAAGGAAGTACAGTGATGCCATTTGGACACGTGGTACGTTCAATATTAATTAACTTTGAATAAACAGGTGACCAATGCTCTGTAGCAGTGGCTTCACGACAATGGAAAAGACAACTGATTCTCCAGTTCAGAGTTCTGTGGACCGAGTCCTGCAGCTGGTCTTTATCTGCCACCGCCTAATTACTGCAGGTCACTTTTACTGTTTCAAGAAGGAAGCTGCAACCAGCATCACCACAGTTCAAGTAAACAGCCCATTACGAACAAGCAGGTTTAGAATGGACAGTGCACTACTACTCTGAACCTGCCATGACAACAATTAATTAACTAAGAACTGCAGACATGTTTTACGAATGGTTTGACTAATAATTACTGACCAACTTAAAATTACATTTATTTTGTCTCTTTCGCTAAAAAACTCTTGAAATATTCAAATATAATTTGATTAAAAACGTATTAACAGAAGATGTATCCTCCTCTCTTACCATTGTCAGTGTGTGTGCTGAAAGTTTCACGTTTCCATTGAACCCAAACTGACTTTTACACTGTGATGTCTCGAAATCCTGCTCATGCATAAATGTTGGTGATGCATGTTAACTCAGATTTTAACCCCCGACCCGAGCTGATGAACGTGAAACAGCCTTCAAACTCATCAAACCTCTTACAATACTTCTATTGTAGATATCAAGAAGTAACCAGTGGTAAAAGTATAAACTGTATCTGATAATGGTACAAGCTATATCCGGTAAAGACACATACCAAGTCTCTGTAGTCCAAACTGTCCGTAGTCTTTACCCTGAATAAAGCCTTGGAATACGTAGCTGCCTCCCTCAGGCTCAGCTGAAACCTGGTGGGGAAAAACAAACGCACGTTTTGTTTCAACTTCATCAGAGAGAGTATTGCATCTGTTCCACACCACATCAAAAAACGAAATCTACACCGTATTTAGTCCGACCATCCACACATTCTGTCAGGCTACATTAAAAAATAACAGCTTGTTTCTTTGAAACCCCGTGCAGTGTGCTATCAATAGCTCAGCTACGTGCGCTCACCTGTCACACGTTTTTATTGAGTGGACCTTGAAGTTTTAGTTTTTTTTTCCCCAGAGGAGGAACTTCTTGTATCCTGCAGTCATTCCATTTCCCTTAGATGTCATGTGTGTGTCTGAGCTTATTCAGCAAAGGGTCATGTGGAAATGCTGAAGTGGTTCATACTGAATGCCTGTGGCATCTGATCCACAGCCAATATCAATATATGCAAATAAAAATTGACAATAAGCCAGGAAATTACTATTCTGCTTGTTGCAGTTTACTGTGACACTTTCCTCTCACTAATAATGAGGAAACGTTGGCTTGGTTCAGTCCAAAGAAGATTACTTTTGTCTCTTGTATGTCTGAACAATTCATATATAAATAACGATATAAAATAAAAGACAGTCACAGCTCTTGGTTGCTTCTCCAATTCCAATGTATACTTACAAATCCATCCATTGCCCAGGTCTCAACAGTAATCCTGCTCAGGGAGCTGTGGGCCAGTGCTCTCATCTGGTACAGCAGGAGCATTAACCGTGCCTCCTGGCGCTTGTACACTCCTACAAGGTAGAAGACAGGAGGCAAGAAGAGGAATGATGGGAGGAAAGTGATGAGGAATACAAGTGCAGAGAAACGATGGAGGAAAAAAAACAGAAGGAGGAAGGAAATGAAGAGAACAGTAGAGAAGAGGGATGAGGGGCAAACACGAGAGAGTGTTGAATGGGCATTTAGTCGTCGGTGCAGATCTGTTTTTAGAGCAAATAGTTAATTTCAACTCTCACGCATGATTGACATGAGGCACCTTAAAATAAATGGAAGTGACACAGACGTAGTGAGGAGGAGGAGAGGGGAGGAAGTAGAAGACAGATGATTTATAGATGACTCACCAGAGAGCAGAAACTCCATGCTACTGTCGCTTAAAGTTACGTTGACTTTTCCCGTCGAAACATTAAAGCTTGTGACTGTCAAAGTCATCGGCTGCTTCTGGCCCCTGTAATCATAGGAACCCTTCCAGACAAAATCGGGGGCAAAGACGTCGTCAGGAACTTGAGAAAAGAGAAATAAAAGAGAAGTCAGTATATAACATCATCGAATAACATAAACAACAAATCAGCTTTGTCAAATGTGTGAAATCAACATGAAATCAATGTTGATTTTTACACGTGAGCTAAACATTTGCACCCACACTGCAAAATGGCAACAGAAGCAACATATCAAACAGCTGATGACAATCTTTTCATTCAATTTCACTTCATTCAATCTTAAATAATAATGACAAAATTTATTCTGACAGAGATAACTCCGAACTCTGCTGAACTTTTAATAGTTACACACTGATAAAACTTTTTGTATCTCAGTTATTACAGCACACTCATTATCTGCTGGTAATTATTTACTCGAAAATTAGAAGTCATTTATCAGTGCAAAAAGGTGACTGCTTATAATCAGTACCCTCATAATAACAGTCAGAATAATTACCCACTATTTACAAGATAATTTTCAGTAGCTGTTGGCACAAGTCAGGTTTTAGGAGGTGGAATAAAGAGACTCAGATGACATGTAACGCTATCTTCCAGTTGAATGACATTGCTAACGCTGTATCTTATAAGTCAATATGATACTGAATATAAAAGGTTAAAGTTATTTTTCAATGGGTAAATACTACCAACAGATTACACTGCACCTCATTGGTCTTAGGGATTGGTGATACCATTTTAAATGACATTGTATTTATCTTTGGGTTCGAGGCCCACAGGTCCTGAGGACTTTGGAGAAAGCCTGAATATATGTTAGGGCATTAGGTCACAGTTTTAAGGGGTACACTAAATTTGAGCTAGTGCCTTCTCTCCCTGTCACTGGACAGATGAGAAGAGCTGGATGAAAACCAGGTGTGTTTTCTTTAGATGAACAAAAACAACCCTCCTATATAAACGAGGAGTTGAAGTTGCCCCCTTAGAAGAGATTCACATTGGCCCCGAATCTCTCTCCAGGCAGGAGAGATTCACATTGGCCCCGAATCTCTCTCCAGGCAGCAGAAGAGATTCACATTGACTTCGGATCTCTCCATAGGCAGATTGCATTGCTTGTATTGATGCTGAACTTTTTTGTAATAAACATTTTATACAATTAAGACGGTGTCATCGGAGATTCCTTCATCATCTTCACATCATCGCAACCCCAATATACGACATGAGCCACTTTGTAAGCGTTTTGAAAAACATTATTATTATTATTATATGTGTCTATCATACTAAGTTTCAGCCTACAGCCATGTAGCTTGCTAATATGCTCATAATTACAATGCCAACATTTTCTAATCTTCACCATCTTAGTTTTTTTTACAACACTTGCTGATGAGCACAAATCAAAAAGTACAGCAGAGGTTAATGTGAATCATTACTTTATCAAATTGGAATTTTGACTTTTCTATACAAATCACACACAGTACTAATAATTGTAATTATTTGTTACCGTCTATATTATGAACAATTCTTTTTCTTTGGCTCACTGACACTCAAGACCTTGAATGTCTACATCATAAATACAGAGTAATATCTCTACAGGTTACGTTCACTTATTATTGTACAATTTACAAGAAATTACCTTGTTGTCCCCATATTTTCTAATCACTGCAGAATTAGACGATACAGCGCGATTATGATCTGTTAATATTCCCTGGTGATATTTATATTTAATTAGGTTTTGTAGCAATTATCCACTCTAAACTACTTAGAGAGGGATCAGATAACAGAACATGTTATGGTCATGATACAAACAATACACAGTGGATTATACGCCAGTGTATTTTCATTATGAGCTAATTATTTTACACTGTAACAAGGAAATTCTGACTTCAAAGCACCGTACCAAGACTATGAGATATATATAGTGGTTAACTCTGTGTACAAGACTATAATATAAACCTAGTGGACGGGTACAGAGCTGCAGTTCCAACTCTTGAACACAGTCAATGCACTGACATTGAGAAATTGTACTATCCAAAAATAAGTTCCTGTAACCGGCACTCATTCTCAAGAACAGACAGATACAGAGCTGCAGATTTCTGTGGCCAACAGTCGAACAGCTTGTGAAATTCAAAACTCACCATTTATTTTTGGGCTTGGTGTGCCTGGTACGTGTTTGACAGTTTTCTCATGCGATTTGGAGCCGACTGCAGAAGAACATAAATATGTATGTCACAAAGATGTAGCGACACACAGCAAAGCTTAACAGCTGGAGGATGTTGGAGGAGTAAACACAGCTCAACTGTAACATGGTGCCTGCATTAAAGATCTCTGGTGGCTCAGTTCTAACAAACATTTACCAATCAACACTTTGCTAAAGCTTCAAGTTAAAAGAGAATCTCGACAGGAGCATATGAAATGACAATAAAATGATAATATCAGAAAATCCACAATGTATTCAGTGAAAAGTAGTCCAAATCTCACAAAGGAGGTATTTTACAATACAAAGTGCATACACATGTGTACTCTGTTCTAAACTCGCTACCCTTCACCCAAGTTTTACTGCATCCCCCACCTCCCTGACATCTTCTCTATCATCTGCCCCCGCAGACCTCTGGCAACCACATACCTCTGCAGACAGGCACCTTGCCAGTCCAGCTGCCGTCAGAGCGGCAGACACGGTGCTCTGAACCCCCGGAGAGGAAATAACTTGGCTGACAGGTGTACACCAGGGTGTAACCGTAGGAGGGCAGGTCTAGACCCACAACGTCAGCATTGGCAGGGCTCCGCGGCTGCTTGCAGGAGTGAGCTGGAGAGCAAACAGAGGGCAGACACCTTAGTACACATGCTCACATCCACACTTACATACATGCACACCTACACACAAACGGATAGACAGGAAGATAATTAAGCTCTCAGTGGGAGACAGAGAGGTGAGAGAGGGTCAGAAAAAAAGAGGATAAAAGGAAGCACAAATGTTTTACAGTTTAATTGAGTCCAGGGAGCTATTAGGGACCATACTGATTTTAATATGTCTACTTTCTTGTCTTATATTAAAAAGGACATCTAAGGCTTGGGGGATGCACTGCTAGATTTTGAAATTTGGTAGCTTGCAAAATGAAGAGGCCTTAAATTAGGGGGACACAATAATTGTATCAGTTATTTAAAGCTAGCATTAAATTCCAAATGTGCATATGCATTATAATTCTGGAACAGAAAGGTCTGACCAAACCCATTCCAAGTCTGCCACTAACTGAAAACAACAGTTCTGATTGTTTTTGTATTTCTTGAATGAATCAAAAGACTAGAGTGAGCAAAACTGTGCTGTTGTGAATTTGGGAAAGTGTAAATCTTGCAAAATTAGAACGTCATATAGGTGCAAGGTCATGGACGCTTATGAACCTTGGAAGTAAGAGACATGCTGCCTGTCATCGTGTGATGGGATCCCACCAGTTACGACTATGAAGCTATGATGTGGTCAATACTATATTATAACACGAGTATGGGTCAGACTACATCCATCTTTCAACTCTGCAATCATTTTTCTCCTAACAACAACTGTGACGTTTTGTGACTGCATCACCGACAATATTGAAGTGACACATCCTATTTACCTAACTTTTACTGACCCCTGAAGTGAAAACTCTTGACTGGTAATATTTGGTCAATAGGAGGTTTTTAAATGCACCCAATGTTCATCAGAAACCAGCAAGTTTCACTTCATCCTCCTATTCATTGATTCTGTCTCAAAAACACAGGTTGGTAGTGGCATGCTGATTTAGGCCAATGTTAAAAAGCTAGAGTTTAAAGAATAAGAGCTGATCAGAAACCAAGAACAGAAGCTGCAATGTTGTGTTTCCAAAACTCTGGCCTCCTATAAACCACATTAAATATTTTCATTTTCTCATGAGTGGAATGAGTATACTAGTTTCATTTTTTTCGCATCAACAAACTCTCTCAAAAACAAAAATGTATGCAAATCAGCTCACACCACCGAAACACAGAGGAGTTGAAAATTCAAGCTCTGAGGCGTCAAGAATACTGTGAAAATATTGAAATAATTTTACAGCCTGTGAGTGAAAGTATACGTTGCCAGCTGTCAAATGGGAGACAGCTGCAAGTGAGTCACAGTACCAAATCGGTCCTTCATGGCGTCTTAATGATATTAGTGGCAATAGGATGTGGAGGGGACGCCAGGATGAAACCCAGTTTCTTGGCTTCATGAGAGAAGAGGAGACTGAAGGAAATTCCCATTGGTGGATATTACTTTTATTGGTGTTTGAGCTTGTAACAGACAGTGTTTGTTTGCATGACTAAGGAAATAAAAGTGTCACTGCTCTACAAGGTAATTACGGTGCAGGATATCCACCTCAGTTACAGGGACTATAAGAATTTAATATACATCAAGAAATCCTGATGAAGAAAGCTCAAGGATGACTATAAAAGTATGTGCCACCCTGAGCTTTTTCACTTGCTCCATACACCCGGGATCTAAGGAATCTATTTAACCTGCGAGAAAGAAGAAGAACTGCCTCATATCGCCGGTTGTAAGATAATAAATAAAAAATAGATA